AGCAGCGGGGTGCACTGAAGGGTGACAGGCACCCACAGCACAGCCAGCCAGGACAGGCGACGCCGCAAACCCCCAGCGAGACCATCCACGAGTCGGGAAGGAGCTTTAAATACAGCTCACCCTCTTGTTCCCCCCCCCTTTTTTCCTCTCTTTTATAAAATTCATTACAACGGGGTGGGGGGCTGTTCTCTGCATCCCTTAAACACGTGCACGCACCCACGTCCCCCAAAGGGCAGCAAGGGCCACCGAAACGAAGGGTGCTCAGCCTGGGGGAGAGCAGCCCTCCCGGGAGCCGGCCCCAGCTCCTAGCTCAGCAGCCACCACCCAGAGCAATTGTTTCATAAATCAGTGACAAAACGCCTTCCTTTCAGGCCCTGCCAGAAGCACTATCCAAAACACAAAGCCAAGGGGTGGGGGCACTCTTCAAGCCTATCTCTTTGGCATATCTCCCGAGTGTGAGACTGCAGAAGGCTAAACAACAGCTCGCAGTAATCCGGGTTAATAAACAGGGAAAGGTGCTGGCAGCGGGCCTGCTCCACAGGGGCCCCATCCCTGGAGATGGGGGGCTGCCCCACATCTTGCCGGGGGTCACCAGGTACCTGCCTTGCCCGTGCCTCCCTGTGCCCTGGCTCCTCCGCCGAGGCCGATGGGGTGGCAGCGTCAGGGCCGTGCCACCTCCGTGGGCTCCGCGGAAAGCCACCATGGATGGGAGATGGGAGGGAAGGGGGGAAATGCCTTGAGCCCAGGTCTGATAGCTCCATTGTGAAGCCGCAGTGTGAAAGGAAAGCCCCTAAGATAGCGAAAAATATCATGCCTGTCCCATTGTGGAGCCGATCTGCGTGATAGCGAGGGCCGCGATTAGGCCCCAGAGCCAGAGCGGCACACCCAGCGCTCCGGGGCCTCATGCAGTGAAAGGCCGCAGCTCTGCAAAGCAAAGCAGATGCCTGCCCTCCCAGGTGCAACCCTTCCTCTGCAGGGTGAGGAAGAGGGGAGCAACAGTGGGAGCGCAAGGAAGCCAGGGGTGCCCAGCTTCTCTCCTGGCCATGGTCTCTGAAGCACTCAGCAAGGCATCCCACGGAGCAGCAGGCCTGCACTGCTCGGACTGTGCTTCCTGCCTTGCTGCAGACAGGCGAGAAGGGATTGGCCAGCGCTTGTAAGGCACCCCCAGTGCACCCCAGCAGCATCCTGGTGGCTGCTCATCCCTGGGGCTCGTCCTCAGTCTTGCTGATGAGGGCCGGCCTGCAGCCCTAGGCAAGGCGCCCACCCCAGCGGGCACCTTCCAGCTTAGCTCAGGCCACTGCGACTATCACCGATCTGCAAAGTATGTCCCCCCCCCCAACCTGATTGCTATTTTCCTGCCCACCACGAGACCCTACAGCAGGGAGTTCCCAAGGTCAGGAGATGCTAAGAGGGGAGCATTGCCTACAGAGGGATGGAGACGTTGGATTCCCCCATCCCCAAGCACCCCATAAGCTGTGCGCGGGGGGACAGGGAGTCATGGCCCTGCCAGGTTGCTGTTTGCTGCACAAACGGGGTATTCGAGGCATAGCATATGGGTGCCCCACAGCATGGCCGGGTTTATCGCCCCACTCGGGGGGGATCCAGCCTTCTCCTTTCCATGGCCCCAACGGGAAGGGTCCCAGAGGGCCATAAATCACATAGCCGCTCTGTTTTATTTCCCCTCCGGACAGACACCCCTGCGGCCGGGCCGGCGGCGCCCCCTCCTCATCCTCCCCCCACCAGAAAAAGGGGATCAAGTTCATGCCCGACCCACCGGTGCGGCCGCGCCGCTGGGGCCAATGGGGCCGGGGCCCATTTCCATACGGTCCGGCCCGGCCCGA